TGGAAATAAAATGCTTATTTCTTACCTACTTCACTTAGGGTTTTAAAGTTGACCACTGTGTTAGCAAAGGTGGAAACAGTACTCTGGCTTCATTTAAGCAGCTAAAACATTTATTTTCATAAGTAAATTGTGGTGATATCAGTAAGTATGTCCTAATTTGGAGCCTATAGCAACTGATATTGAAAAATGTTCACAAAATATTTTCACTATTAAAAGTGTATGAAAAGGTTCTTACATAATTGTGCTGACCAACAAGGTAGCTGCTAGTCACATGTGGCTATTTAAATGTTAATGTAAATTAATCAAAATTAAGAATTCAGTCCCACGGCCACACTAGCCACATTTCAAGGGCTCACTAGCCACACAGAACATTTCCACATCACTGTTGTGTAGCATCTGAAAAGACCACAACACGCAAATGGTTTTTGTAATCCTTGTCATAATACAAGAGGTACATATTTTGGTACATTTTTGGCTTAAAATATGAAGAGCTAAATAAATATAGTTTCATATTTTATCTTAAAAACAAGTAGGGTTATAGAGAATTAGTCTTGAACCCATAATTCTTTCTAGGGGATCAAGGGACTAAGTGGCCCACTTTGTGCATGTCATAATCTCTATTTACATAGTCACAAATTCCAATATCCATAGCTCTAATTAAGTAAACATGAAGATGAACACAGGCACATGTGCCAAAAACCTGAAGAAAATACATTAGGGAATCTAAAGATATTGAATGAGGCTTCCCACATAATTCAACGAAATGAATTCAGAGATACTATGGAATACTGTGCTCAAATTTCTGTGAATTATTCTTGTGTTAAGTATGGTGACCACCTCATTCCAGTCTTCCTGGGACTTTCTAGTTTCCATTCCAGTTTTGTGGGACTCAAAGTTCCACATCTCAGGAAACTGCACAGTCCTGGGCAAAATGGAATGGCTACTCCTGGTGGTAAGGCACGGTGCTTTGTTTCTATGTATCTTCCAAAATGGCAGCCTACAGTAGGGGCTGATTAATTTTTCTGTTTTAACAGTTATACAACTTGTTAATATAAGCTCAAGATAACCTGTCTCAACTGCCTTTCTAGTCGTTCCACGTCCATGAACGTTATGTTCTAGCTATGCTGAATTTCTTGGCTTTTTCCAAACATGCATTTTCAAACCACTGTCTTTGCTCAGGCCATTCTCTACCTGGAATGCTTTTTCATTCCACTGAACATATACAGAACTTACCCATCAAGGTACAATTCAAAAAATACCTCTTTTCATACACTTTCTCCTCTCTGATACTCTCCTTTTTTCAAATTTTCCTACTCTGCAATAGAATGACTTGCTGCTTCTGCTGTACTACCAGCATGTTTTACATATATTTATTATAGCAACTGATCCTTTGTGCTGGCATTTGCCTTACATGTTTGCTTTCTGTTCTAGACTACAAGTGCAAATGGCTCTATCTTTTTATTACTAGTGTCCAAGTGTTTCTGGCACATGGGAAATGCTTGTTAAAACTCATAATGTTTAATAAATTTCAAACTTTATTTTACACATTACCTCGTTTGATTCTCTCAAATATTCTGTGAGCTTGACAAGAGTTGATTGCTATATATCCATTTGGTTGATGAACAAATAGGCTTAAAGACAGCGGTTTGACCAAAGTTAGAATGGGTAGTTTGGGTACTGAATCCCAGGTCTTCCGACTACCACTTTCTGCTAAACCTCACTGAAGACTGTCATCCAACAGACAGGATTGCTCTGTGTGTTGGTAACAAAAGGGTGATCAATAATATTTGACAAGCCGACTTTGTGTCAAAGCTCACCCTGTCATTCCCTGTCCTTCAAAATCATCCCATACAGGACCCTTCTTTCACTTTCCCAACTTAATCCTATCAGGTGAGAAACGTTGGCTAAACCATCATTTGATCTTAAGTCAAATGGCCCAAACTTCACAGGCTTCTAAAGGTTTACCCTTACGGAATGAATGAAGCACCTTAAAAGTCCTGCTGTTAAAAGTAACGCTTTTACATCATGACTGTCAGGGCTTTTCACTCTCGGTGCTTTTTAAAACTTCAGCTCTCTCGTCTAATGGATTCCCTTTAATCTGTCTGTATTATTATAGGCTCCTAGCTGCCTGATAACTTGCAATCATTATCCAGAGGGGAAAGCGCCCTGTGAGGAATCAAGAAGAAGCAGGTTATAATCCAGCTCAGCCATTCTGGGCTCTGTCTTTACTTTCCCCACCAGTTAAAGGGGAATAAAGCCACACCCACTTAGGAAGCCGCGAGAATTGGGAGACTGGAAGAGTAAAAGCGACCTGCAAACCTTAGTTTTAAGTCCATAAAAAATGCTATTATATTTTCACACTTCTGCTCTTTGCTAATAAATAATGTAATCTACTTAATTTTGAATATGATGTGTCTCCAAACCTAGCAAAGCGAAGGTCACGTCACCACAACCCTCCCTCCGCGAACGCCAAGCTTCCACGTGAGACGCCGCTTCCACGCTTTCCTCTACGGTACCCAGGAGGCGGAAGGGACACGCCTGCAGTGACGCACTTATCTTGCGCGACTGACGTCACTGCCGGGCGCCAGGCGGCACGTTGGCCGGGATTTCGGCGGGCTTCCTGGGGCCCAAAATGGCTATGGCTAGTGATTTCTACCTGCGCTACTATGTAGGGCACAAGGGCAAGTTTGGACACGAGTTTCTAGAGTTCGAGTTTCGGCCGGACGGTGAGCAGAGGAGGGGCCTTCGGCGCGCGGTGCTGGGAAAGGGGGAGCGAGACCGAGAGGTCGCGGAGGAGGCGAGGCGGGTTGGGATGAACGAGCTTGGTGGGCTTGGGCGGGCGGAGTTCCCTGCTTTCGCCGAAGTCTATAGGAGCTTAGGAATATAGGGGGCCTGAGTTGGTCTTGTGGATAACCGGGAAATTGATTGCTGTAAATTAATTTAGAAAGGTCAGTCCAGCCACATACTGAGAAGTTGAACCTATGGTAATCAGAATCCTAGAGTCAGCGCACCAGAAGGGACTTTAAAGGTCCTGTAGGTTGCCGCCCTAATTTTCAATGCCTGAACGTTTTAAAAACACTCCCACCAAGCGGTGGTCCGTCCAGTGGATGCTTAAAATCTTTCGGTGACCTGTAACTTACGGCTTATTCGTTCATTTTATTCATTCAGGTTGTGTGTGTTTTGAATGGGAAGAGCCGGACGTGTAAACAAATGAGTGTAATAATATGTTTTAGATGCTTAAATACAATTTTTCACCGTAGGATGCATTAAAAGTACAAAAAAAGGGGGAGAGGTTAATTTCACAGGAGGGAATCAGGAAAAGCTTCCTGGAGCACTAGACTCTTGAGTGTTGAAATGAGAGTAGGTATTTTCTTGGCCTTTGGGGTGGGGGAACAGACTGAGAGCAGTATGAGCACAGGGCTAGGTGAAAATTTTGGCGTAATGGAGAAAGTGTGAGTATTGGAATGAAGTAAATCTAGATCTGCATCTTGTGTGACCCTGGGCAAGTTATTTAACTGTGTTTCCTTGCCTGTGAATAGGTGAGAGAATAAAAACTGCTTTTTAAAGTTTGTTTTACAGATTAGATTAAATGCCCTGGGTAAGGCACTTAGCACCAATATAGGTATAACAAACTTGAAAACAAATTTTAGTTTCTTTTTCAGATTTCCTTTCCAGTTCATGACATAGCTTAAGAAAATAGGCCTTAAAATGACCTATAATATATTGAAGGTATGGAATATTTAAAAATTTGGCTAGTTTCAACTTCATCCAATTCACCATCAAATATTTACTTAAGTGTCTGTGTCCAGTATTGATATTATACTAGGAGGGAGGAAATAATGAATAAAAGTAGTAGTATGAAATGGTCTTTATCTTCAAAATTGCTTACCATGACATTTATTTATTTACTTATTTTGGCAGTTTTTGGTGTTATAGATTGAATTTTTTCCCACTCCCTACAGGAAAGCTTAGATATGCCAACAACAGCAATTATAAAAATGATGTCATGATCAGAAAAGAGGTAAGTTCTTTTTGAATGTCTAATTTTTTACAACTAGTCCATTTTCCTTGAGTCTGTGTTAAATTTATAAAAATACATCTAAGGCTATATTGTAATGAAGAAGACAATTTATAGATTGAAAGTGTTTCCATTTAAATTAGAAGATATATATAGAAAATTGTTTTGGGATAATTTATTACAAATGTATATATTTGCTTATAATTTATTATAAATGTATATATTTGCTTATGATTTATGATAAATGTATACATTTGCTTATAATAAAAGCCTTTTGAAGTACACACAAAAAAGTAAATAGATACAGTTGTAGCATCTAACAACAAAAGTAGCAATCCGAATATATTAACTTGTAGTCTCACGTTCTTCGGGTCTATCATTTAATTCATTTTATAATTAACTTTGTCTTTTTACTCTATTCACTATTTAAAACTAATTGGTAATCATGATAGTATAACTTTTAAATGAAAGGCACAAAAGATAGGGATAGGAAAGTTTATTCTGATTCAGTGAGTCTAGAAAAGAGAAATAAAGAATAAAAAAAGAAAGAAAGTTTAAAGCACTAACTGTGATATGTGCTTGCATTTGTTGCTGTTTACTTCATAGATCTTGTGTTGTCACCAATAACCACTTGGAGATGTTTGAGTCTCCGTGTTACAAAGGCAGAATACAAGGTTTTAAAAAGGGGCCAGTGATGAAAAGAGGGAAAAATATGTATTAAAGGAAAGAGTAAGAGATGAAAAATAATATAAGAAGGATGAATGTTTCTCTCTTATTCTGTACTTTTGAAATCAGCATTAAATTTTTCTGTGAGATTCTAAGAATATTTAAGGTTTGTAACTTTTATTTCTTTCTGAGTTGTGGGATGACATAGGCAGGCATTATGAAATTTTATTATAATTCATTTTCAGGCTTATGTACACAAGAGTGTAATGGAAGAACTAAAGAGAATTATTGATGACAGTGAAATTACAAAAGAAGATGATGCTTTGTGGCCTCCTCCTGACAGGGTTGGTCGACAGGTTTGTATTTAGTGATTCTTTAAATGCATCAATATTAAAAATTGTCAACATAATTAGTTATGTTTTCCTTTATTTACTTAGAATGCATTCTCATTGATTCTTGGTTTTCCACTTAGCAGGCACCTGATAAATACTCTTGAATTTTATTTCACTTAGCTTCATTTTCAGTGCTTACTCCTTGTAGTAAAGGAGTCAGTGCATAGCTCTAAATTTAGACACCTTTCTGAACAATCTTCTCTGTAGCCATCCCAGCCAAAGTTAGGATATTTTCATGCTGTTATGAATAATCTCTATTGTATGTTAGTCATTTTTATTGGGAATAAATACAAATGTTCGTAAAATTTGAGACTTCAGATTCTCATTGACTATGTAAAATTCACTTTCTCCCAACTATAACTTTCAAAATTCTTATTTGCATCCTTATGTCCCAGAGAGACACTTGATTGGTGGTTTCTTTGTTCAAACTGACCATTGCGTTTGCCTCTCGTATTTTCTTCAGAATAATTGGTGTTTCTCAAAAAGCTTCTGAAGAACTCTGAAGGCCTAATTTCACTGTGTATAAAGAAATTTTGGTTTCTGAATTGGGTCTTTTCAACTCTTGGAGAAATGAGATACGACCCCTGGAAGGAAGAAATACTTAATTCACTTTTGTATATTCCTGAGGATTATACTTGTAGAAGAAAATGTGGAGAAATCTAACAGATGCTGACATTCTGTAGCAGTAACCTAACTCTTCTATTTAAAGAAACATTATTTAGGAAAGCAAAGGTAATAGTTAATAGGATTTATTTTATGTATTGTATCACTTTTAAAAAGTAAATTTAGACCTCAATTTTATGCATTTATACATATGTACTAAAATACAACAGCCACTAACCTTTTATATCTTTTACACTCAGGGAGAGCCTGGTGTTTCATCTAACCACTTGATGATGTGTTCATGGGTTTTGGTTAGTGAGGAAGAGTAGGCATGTTCCAAAAATTGCCCATTGGATCATTAAGACAAAGATTTTGTGATTGTTAGAGAATCTTAGTTAATTCTCCATTTGGTGTGTGCCATAAACTGTATAATTAGGTCTTTTGATTTAATATACAGCTAGGACTGTCTTAATGGTGTGTTTGTTAATTTACCTTGAAAACGTGTTACAAACATAACCTCTTAATTATTGGTTTTAGATTTGCAGATAAACAATATAGAGGAAAATCTATATCAATTATTTTGGGGAGTATTTGTCTGACTCTTCTGGGATCAACTATCCATACCATCACTGATCGGTGGTTGTAAATATCAACAAGTGTTTTCCTTTGCTTTATGAGTTTTGAATTACACATTTGTAAAATAGGCTAATAAAGCCTGCCTTACAAGGTTATCTCAGGGATTGCAGAGAATGTTTGTAAGGTCCCTAGCGGCAGGGCCTGACACATATAGGTGCTAAAGTGCTGGCCATTATTATTATACATTTTATTTGCTGAATCTTATGGAAAGGGAAAATGTCTTTGTATTTATTATATTAAAAATAGGTTTATACCCATATCTTTAGTTTTTACATGTGCTTTGAAGAAATGTCTTTAGTTTTTACTGACATAAGAAACATTTCTGTGTCATTTTATTTTATAGTGTCTTTTCTGTGATGTCACAGGAAAGCAATTCTTGGTTGGTAATAAAATTGGGGGTAGTGCTGTAAGCAGTTGATAAGGCTTTTATTTGAAGGATATAGTTTATGTCTAACAGATCAAGTTTCTTCCCCTTCACCCCACCCGCTACCAACTACTAGAAAACTTGTTACTAAAATGAGGACCCCCTTTATAGCAAGAATACAGATATCTCTGGAATAGGTTTTTATATTAACTACATTTCTCTGCTATTTTACTTTTTCCAGGAGCTGGAAATTGTAATTGGAGATGAGCACATTTCTTTTACTACATCAAAAATAGGTTCTCTTATTGATGTAAATCAGTCAAAGTAAGTATGTTAAAGCATTTTGGCTAGCTCAGCGTTATTAGAGAGGCTCATTTTAGAATCGTAGTCAGTTAGCCACGATTATTTCAGTGGCATCCTGTCGGTATATTATGCAGATGCAATTTTGATTTTTACATCATTAAAAACTTGTTATCTTGTCTCTCAAAGAAATTAGGGTATTTCACAGATTGTCAAAAAACATCTTATTCCAACACCTCTGTATAATAACACTCAAATTTTATTAGCTATTTTGTGTGAAAATCTGGGTACAATTTCAGAAAATTTAAAGAAATCCTTATTGGATTTTATCAGCCTCATTAACCCTGTATCATATCACTCTCCTCCTTGGGTTCAATACTTGAAAAAAATTGAACATATTCGATATAGCTTGAATATTCTTTTAGCTACCCATATTTTCCTAAGATCTGTGTCTCTGGGCCATTGCAGCATATCCCATTGTCTTGGTCTGATCCAGGCCATTTCTTCCCACCCTTTCCCCTCAAAATGTCCCCATAATGCTCTTACTTTTCCCTGTCACCTGAAATTATAATAATGTATTTGTCTGCTTTACTGGTTTGAATGTAAGCTCTATAAGAGCCTTGCTGTATCTCCAAAGTTAGCATAGTGTCTGACACATAACTTTATATAAATATTTATTAGAGGAAAGGAGAAAGGAATGAATGCATAATAACTATTGGACACAAAAGGCTGTGCTCATAAAGACCAACCAGTTACTTCTAAACTGTCAAATTTATTTTCCTACAGTTGATGAGGGTGTGGCATTCATACCCTACTGTGATTATAAATTGGTAGTGTTTTCTGGAAAGCAATTTGGTAATTTGTCTCAAAAACTGTTAACATTTTTTATTCCTCTTTGACATAGGAATTTCATTTTTGAACATCTGTGGTAGGGAAATATTGTCAAATACAGGAAAAGCTTTATTCACGAAGATGCTCATTGAAGCATTATTTATAATAGGAAAATAATCCAAACATCTAACAAGGAGGGAATTATTTAGTTAAAATTATTAGTGAGTTTTTTTTTAATGCTGTGGGGAAAGTAATATAAAAAAGGGCACAGGGAGTGATTTTATTTATTAAAAAAATGGAAAATATTTATAGTTATTCCATGAGAGTGAGGCTTTATAGTATTATGAGTATTTTTTCTGCTTTATATATCTTTGTGATACAGTTATTATGTTCATAAGGAGATAAACACTTTAAATACAGAAATGAATACTGGTGAAGAAACTATGTTTTTTCCCCTACAGAAAAGATAGAGATGTTAATCATTGAGTCTATTCATTTTGTTGTCAACAAAATCCTTCCTTTCTCCTAAATTCTATTAACTTAATTGTTACAAGCTTTTGATTTTATTTGTTTTAGGAATTTATAACATTGTTTCATTCTAGGAACAAAAAAGTAACTGTTACCTTTTTAAATTTTAGGGATCCTGAAGGCCTTCGAGTATTTTACTATTTGGTACAAGACCTGAAATGTTTAGTTTTCAGTCTCATTGGATTACACTTCAAGATTAAACCAATTTAAATTTTATGTTCCTGAAGCTGTTTGTATATTTAATTAAGGGATGGGTAAGGGAGGGTTTATTTGTTATTTACAATATTGGGATTTTTATGAATGTGAAACAAATAAATTTTTTTGTATGTAAACTGAAAATAAGAAAAATACATAGACAACCTTAATGGTTATCATTACTTGGGTCCAACTGGGTTGAACAGTTCCCACACACATTAAATTCTATAAATAAAAGCCACCTTTTGTTGAAGATTTGCTCCAATAAAACATCAGAGCCTGGATGGAGAGTGGTGTTTGTTTTGTTTTGATTTCAAGAGGCTATGTCTCTTAAGAAATTGTTCTAGTAATAGTTTGGGAGAAGATGGTAGAAATTGGTAGAAATATAGAGCCAGATTCCCATCCAGTAAAGACAATTGCAGATCTTCCCTTATTTATTTCATACATGATTGGATTTGATTTTTTGATGCTTACAGAAGTTGTTTATAGAAGGTTCTGGGTTTTTTAGTTATCACAAACTCTTCAGGGATTATTCACATTTAAATATTTTTGGTATAAGCAGTGCTTTCTTTAAGTGCTACAAGAGTAAAGTCAGCACCCTAAGTCAGGTACATCTTTGATTATGCCCTTATTCCTTTTCTCACCATATGTGTTTTATATGTGTGTGGGAACTAAATGAGTTCTCAGCTTTACAAATTGTCTAAAATTTAGACTTATACATGTGTATGTGTGCGTGAATGCATGTGTATTTTAGTTCCTAATGAACACATCTCACTAACGTTTCCCAATTCCCTTGAACCTCTTTCTGATAGATTGCACCTTTCATTACTTTTCTTAGTAATAACTATGCCTTTGGTATTTTTACTCTTCCATGTGTACTCCCCCCGCCCCCTTTAAAAGTTGTGTTGTCCCGGTAGTTATAATCCATTTGCCCCAGGGACCAGTCAGTACTGACTTTAGGTTGAAAGAATTAGTCTCTGAAGGCTTGCCAGGACTCCTGAGCAGCTAGGCTCTAGAGTAGCTCTGTCCAATAACTTTTGCAATAGTGGAAATGTTCTATATATGTGCAGTCCAATAGGGTAGTCGCTAGCCATGGGTGGCTACTGATTACTTGAGATGTGCCTAGTGTAACTTGCAGTGCTGTTTAAGCAGTTTTTTTCTAACATGGAAAACATCAAATATAAAACTGTCGAGAATTGTAAAATGAACACCCATATACCAGTCTAGATTCTATACTTACCTTTTTTACTGTAATGTCTATTATAATAAATCATCTTGATTTTTCACTTAACTGGTGTAATTGGTGCCAATAGAGTATGTTTTTATGTAGTGCTATTTAATTTTGATTAAATTTAGATAATCACATGTGTCTAGTGGCTACTCTTTGGACAGTGTAGCTCTATGGCTGGCTTGGTAACCTGTTTGCCATGGTCCTTTTGACTGCTCAAAAATTTATGGCCAATGTATTTAGGTTTACTGCGGAAAGTCAACTGATCTCTACTTCATTGTGCAAGACTATTCTCATCTTCAGGTCTCATGGAAACAAATATTTCTGTTCAAGTTGTAGACCTTGATAAATGTGCAGTATAAAATCCTCTTACACTGATGTCAACCCCAGGGAGAAAGGAAGAATTGCTTTTTGAACCTCTGAGAGGTCTACTGTTTTTGGTTGTTCTTCAAAATAATGTTCATTCTGTGTCTTGTTGAATAAGATGATCCATTCAAGACTGAACAAGGTTGGGGAGTAGTCCTTAGATTAAAAAATGTTTAACATATTAACTCTTTGTCCCCATTCTCTGACTTCTCTGTAGTATTGATTTACTTATTTTGCTCTATTAAGATTTCTCATATTCAAACCAAAATTGGAGAATACAAATTCTCCAATTCAAACCAAATCAGGAAAATACTTGATACTGTTATCTATGATTTTCTTATACTTTGAACTGGCTCTTACTTGATTGTAAGCTACTGATGGACAAATGATCATTAGAAATTAAATTTTGAATAGCACTAGTTTTATATGAAATCAGATTTTTACTACACTGAAGTCAGCAGATACGTGTTCCCCTTGCTTCCTCCCTTAATTAAGAGACCTCTTGAAATAATCAAATTTCTTTTCCAAGTACTTGTTCTGCACTTCATCCCTCCTTTTCCCCTTTCCTGGGTTGGTGTGTCTCTTACCCAGAACCTAGCACAGTCTTTTCCATATGCTTTTAAGTTTGCTTTTTAAGGTGCTTTTTAAGTTTGTTGAATTGTTTGTCTTTTGTTTTTGTTCTTATCACCTTCACGTTATTTATCTTGAATATTTCATTGATATAAGACTGAGTCTATTCATGTGGACATTTTAAATACGAATAGAAGTGATAGCTGAGATTATTTTGTGTATTCTGTTGTTAGACTATGTTATGATTTGAAATGTTTGAGACCTGTGAACATCTGTTGTGCTATAAGTTTAACCTGTGATCCATATGATTATTTTAATAATTAGATTCCTGCCATTAATAGATAATGAGCTAGAAAAGAAAATCCAAAAAATTTACTAAAGATAAACGACGAAGGTAAATGAATGATTTGAGGGTGAGATCAGAATCTGCCTTGGGAGACTCCCCAGATGATGACAGTAAAGTTGTAGAACTACTGCTCAGAATCTGGCGTCTGTGTTGTCCCAATCTGAACTGTGATAAGGTGGAGAAAACACTAACTTAAGAATCAAAAGTCTTCATTGTGGATCAGTCCTTAATTATTTTCATTTTCAACCTGTGAGTAGACTTTATCCCTTAGTGGCACGGAGCCTAAAGAGCTTATTTTGCCATTATTTCATCATGCTTGCTTAGTTCCTGAGGTGGCCCTCTCATTTGGTTACTTAGAAATTGGTGGAGGGATGGTTACTGTTTGCTTGACTGCTGGAGGCCCAGCTGGGATAATATAGAGTATTTTAAATCTAGAGCATTAGAATAGATTTTATTGTAAAGACAAAAAGGACAAATGGAGTAATGAGGGGAACGCGAAATCTCAAACTAGAGGTCATCTTAGTTTTTACTATAAGAGCCAGGAAATTTACTATCACTCGGTGGTGTAAAGGCCAGGCATTAGGACAAATGAACAATGAGGTGGGAACCTGGCCAGGTGAGGTTACTCCTCCCAATGAAGTGACACAGACCATCTTTCCCTGTGTGCTAGTGGTTATTCCGGACATCCTTACTTCCGCCTAGCACAAGAAGAACAGCATGCCACTGCGAAATAATAAACCACTGAGGTTTGAAGGTGTGACCAGGAGGTTTGAAGGTGTGACCAGAGGTTTGAAGCTGTGACTGGGGAGGTTTGAAGGTGCGACTAGAAGTCGTGTGCTAAGCTTCTAGCTAACACAATTGTCAGAAAGAAATGGGGTAAAATGTGTGATTTCCCAAATAGAAGAGGCTTTTGCAGCAAAGCAACCAGAAAAAAAATACGTGAATACTTTGTATATATTCATGTTTGTGTGTGTGTATGTATGTTCTGCACAAAAGTGAATTTGGAAGACAAAAGTACAAGAACATTCAAAACTCTTCGAATTTATCTTTCCCTTTTATTAACAGTGGTTGTGATAGGTGTGGTAAAGTGTGGTACTTCCAATCTTGTGCTGCTTCCAGTCTTGTTCAAAGGGCCATGTTAGGAGTTTTAATCAATCCTGTCCGAAGTTACAGTTATCTTCTGGTGCTGATTGTTTCTTCGAAGAAGAAATTTGCCTTTTCCAGAGATTCATAGCTTGGTAATAAAAGGAAAATAGAGCTTAGAGAGAGTAACTACACAATTCGGTTTCCCAATCATTAGTCGCATTCTACCTCTTTTCAAAACTATGAAAAATCTAGATTTTATAGTCAATTCCTCTTAACTTTATCTACTTTGTTCATCAACTGCACTTGTAGGCATCATATCTCTTGTATGTGTTACAGTTACAGTAACGAATAAGACAGATGTACTCACTCTTACGGACTTTATGTTACGATAGAAGAGACAGACAATACGTGAGAAGTGTAAGTGTGTTCTGCACTTGTCTAGCTTCCATCCCGAGAACACGCAGCGGCTGTAAGGACGTAAATCAAAATAGAAAAAAGCCTCAACATCACCACTATCTCCATGGGGCAGTAAGATCGGAGGCTACCGAATGGTCTTCCTAGAGCAGGGGTGGAATGCTGCCGTGTTTCCCAGCTCCCGAATTGTGTTAGTGTACCATCCCCATCCCATTCTTGCAAACACCTGCACTCTAGCCTCACATGGTGGGATAGAGGACACAGCTCAGTGTGTCAGGACTTCTGGATTGCTGTCCGGTGCTTCAGAACCTTAGGAGAGGAGAAACAACAACAACAAAAAAAGTGGACTTATTTTCAAGTCTAAGAAACTCTGTATGTAGTGCTAATTTCATTTAATTTTTCCAAGTCTGTGAAGTAGGTGATACTCCTATTGAACACGTGAAGAAACTAAGGCTTGAAGATTTTGAGTGACTTGTTCAAATTTTTACATATAGGAAGAATTTGAATCTCGGACTTCAAATAATAATATTTAACATTTAAGGGGAGCCTACTATACATATAGATACATATTTATGTATATGACAGGTTCTGGTTGGGCACTTTGTATACCTCATTTCATTTAATCCACACTGTATCACCATTTTACTGTGGTGAATCTGAGACTTACAGAAGCAAGATGACTTGCCTGAAGTCACGCACAGGACCTAGGGGCTTTCCTTTCAAGCCAGATGTGCCTGGTTGCAGAATTCATGCTTTGTGGCAAGAGCTTTGTTGAAAGCCCAGGCCCTTCTGAATTCCCAGTCCATCCATGCTCTGTATCTTCAGGCTTGATTTTAAACATGGGTCAAGAATTAACAATAGTTTCCTTAGGCAAGTCAGTGAATCTCTTCACATTAGTTTCTTCATTTGTGAAGTGCAGACAGTGGTGAATAGCTGCCAGTGCTGGGGGGCTGCTATATGGTTTTATACCCAGGAGGTTCTCCAATAAATGATAGTGTCTCTCTCTGCCTGCCACCTTTTCGTTCAACAACCACCATCAGTGCCCCCCCACCACCACTCCTGTCTCCTCTCAGCAGGACTATCTTCCTTTATTTATTATTTTGGTATTGGGCTAGAGGGCTAGGGCTTTGGGATTGACAAAGCCAGTCCTCAGGATTAGGAGAGAGAGAAAAGAAAATGCCCAGCAGCAAGTGTCAAGTATTCCTGAAGCGTCCAGACTCCACCCATGGAACTTTTCGTACATTACTGAGTTAAATTAATCTCTGGGAGGTATTTCAGCTGGCAGCCTGCATATGATGACAAGTGGCAGACCTCAGTGGTGATTCAGAGGTTAAGGATTGTGTCAGGAGGCAGAAGTGGGCTAGATGATGCCCAAACAACAGGAAGCATAACCTAGACCGGGTCTTGGTGGTCAGAACGTGCCGTTGGAGGAAAAGCGGGAGGCATGAGCAAATTGAAGAAGAGGGAGGCCTTCTGTAGAATGATGGTTTAGCGTGGCTACAGGTGGGTATGGGAAGGAAAAAATAAGCAAGGGATTTGGTGAAACAGGTGGAGTTTGTCTCTGTGAGAGCAATTTCCCCTTGTGTTCTCTCCCTCTCTCACCATCCCACCCTCTCTGCCCTTTGATCCCATAATTTCATGTTTAAAAAGTTTTCCAAAGAAAATATTCAGAAGCACAGACCAAATATTTTTTACTGTAGCAAAAAATTGGAAACAATCTAAATGTCCAACATTAGGGAATTGCCAAAATAAATTATGGTACACCCATGTGATAATAACTCTTTAAAATGAGAAATTTACTTATCGTTTGTTAGAAAGTAATAGATTAAAAACACTGTATATAGAATGATACCAATTTTGATAGCAGACATAATGTACTGATAAAAAAACTAGAAGAATGTATACACCACAATTTTTATGGTAGAATTATGGATGTTTTAAAATAATTTCTAAAATACACTTACCTGTAATGAACATAAATAGGAATAATTTCTTTCCAAATAGTAAAATATAAGGGAACATTTCTAACAGGCTATTATTTAAGGTAAAAGCTAAAGAATTTAGTCATGACCCTTCTTGTATAGACAGATATGTTTATGCATAGACGTTTTAGTTATCTCTTCTTACTAGCAGTTTCTCTTAAGTATGTTAGTTTTTTGTAAAAGATATTAGTCGATTCTGAATGTTATTTTGCAAAGAGTACTAAGTGGTTGGTGAGTTGAAATGAAGGAAGATATAGCTCATGACTGTCTTTCTGTTACCGGCAACATCAGGTTTCATCACACAATTTCCTTTTATCACTTTGGTCAAGAGGAGGGACGGAAAATTTTGAGCTGGAGTATGATTCAGAGACAAATCATTTCTGCTTTTCATTTTACAGCCCCTGAGGGATCCAGGACTGGAAAGGCCAACGTCTCCCTCATGTTGGGGTCAGTATTCTCCATCTGCATCACTCCGTGGCACCGGTACAGGTCATCATCTGCTTTTATTCTCTCAGATCTTTGTGCCTGATTATGTTATTAGTCCTACTTATTCTGGGAATGAGGCATTTAACTACAAATGCCTTGGCGTGGGAGTGGGATTGATAGGCAATCATTCTCTGCTGATTGAGTTAGAGCTGCTTTAACTCTGAAGGATGTGAAAATTGAAGCTCAGCATTCACAGAAAGTTATTTTCTCTTTCTCAATATGCTATGATTTTTGCTTTGTGTTATTCAAATAAGAAAGAGAGAGAGGGTTAATTACTTTTTACTTGGGTCTAATGATTTACATAATATCCATTTTGAAGGGTTCTATAATAGAAAAGACTTTTTTTCTTAGGAAATTAGTGAAAATGTGAATAAGTTTAGAAAATTTTGTAAATTAAAAAAATGTAGAAAAAATATAGTTACGTGTGCAATTTGTTTTCCATATTTGTTGTGCGTTGAATATCATCTTTTCACACTGATTTATGTAGGAAGAAAGGTAAATTTTAAATATTTACTATTTAGTAATTTTTTCTATGTTGGCATCTCTTAATAGATGGCATCCATTATGGACGTTAACTAATGATTACCTATTCTCAAATTTTATTTTCACATAGGCTTCTTTGACAACATCATGCACTGGAATATTATTTCTAAAATTCTGATGTACATGGAATCATTTGGGATTAAAAATACAGGTATCTGGACTCTAACCTAAGAGATTTTTTTATTCAGTACATCTTGTACAGGGCATTGGAATCTGGGTTGTTAACCAATCTGCAATGTTAACCCTCAAATAATTCTTAAGCAGATGGTGTATGGGATGCTCTTTGGGAAACACTGTAGTAGAGTCACATATAATTGAAAATAATGCAAAAACTTTTAAATATTTATATGCGTGTTGGAACATGTATAAGGCATTTTAAAGCCAAGATAATTATTTTTTTAGAATGTAGGATCTTTGTTTTCTGAATTGATAGCTTAAAAGTGTTTCAATGATTTGAGGTAGTACCAATTTTGCCTAACATTTGTATATGTACGTTAAACATTTTAAGCAAAATTGGCTGTGTGAATATGACAATAATCTATTGGTAGAT